TCTGGGTTCCTTTGGCCGCATGAGTTTACACTTCTCTCCCATTTGTTTCCCATATTTATCTCCCACTCTGGGTTCCGTGGGGTGCATGGGGCAGGGCGGGCTACAAATGCAGGGAAGGATGTCGAAATGACATCCTTTACCGCAAACTAAAATATAATTGAGATTTTCTACATCTGTTTGGGGTCAGCGCTGGTATAATTGAACCAAGACGCTCAACTGTCAATACCAAATTGGCGTCAACGGAGATGCAAAGCTTTGCTCTTGGGGTTGTATGCTGGGTTAATTATTGTCATTACAATGAATCTGACATACTTGTATTGATTCCTCACATTTTTTCTGCGCATCGAAATTCGGTGAACTATCCCCAATTCAACCTCGATTCACTTTCATATTGCAAGGGAAGGACTCTATCTCTATCCCTCACAATATCTGCAAGGCATGTCTAATTAATTGGCCAGCTGTGCCACACCTCAAGCAAAATGACCTGTGATGTGGGTTAATCCTGTTGGACGGTTCGACCATCTATTGGGCACGAAGGCTGGCATGGCGTGCATTCACTTTTTTGGGAGTGAGCACACATCTCTCCAAACAATCCATGTTCTGCATCTCGTTATCAAGCCAGATGTCAGCCATCATGAAGCGGGCAAGACTCCGTTTGAGGTGGCCTCGGAGAATACTAAACCAAATTGACAAAGGATACGAAAATATTGTTTAAATTCAAAACACTACCTCTGCAATCCTCTGCCTGGCAGGTCTTGGATGTTCTTGAGTCGCGAGTCGTTTTACTGTTGTGCGGATATACTCAGGTCTGTGCAAGTTTTCCTTCGCAGCAGATCTGTCTCCTCGCCATTTCCCCTGGATCACCTGGTCTTTCACATACTCCTCACTTTTGAGCCTTCGGAGAGTTTCAATGGCATGAAGTGCACAGTTAATGGCAATGATAGCAGAATCAAATTGATCCAAAATGCATCTCGGCACGTCTTGACATGTCTTCAGCTGAGTTCAGCAAATCTTGTTGCGTAAGCACTATGGAGACCATGCCACTGGCAAGTGGAGGATCAGTCGTCTGAAGTTTCCCAAACAAGCCGGCCCAAAGGCCCAAAGGACCTATCCCTGAGATTTGGAAAGGACATCAAGACTTTAGAAACTTTAGAGGTCATGCGGCCATATGCCATGTTTTCAAAATGTTTTCAACCGTCTTGACGGCTTTGTAATAGCCTTTCCTCTATGCCCAAGTCAGTGCAAACCTGGCTGCTAGTTCCTTGGCTTGTTCCACTGCCTCCAGGACAAATGCAACATGTGGGAGTTTTGCATCTGTTTGCATCTGCTTGCTGCAACAAATGCGATGTGCACATGGCAAAATGTTCCTTAATCAAACTCACTATCACTATGTGTACGTTCTGCATCCCAGCCTCTTGTTCTGCAGCATCTGCATGCTCTAGGAACATAAACAGTCTTTGGTAGTCTGAGAATCCCAGAACATCAGAGCTCTGCCAAAATGCCAAAGCTTGAGGATCATCAGTGCTACCAACATCTGCAGCAACCACCTCAGCGCTTTACATGAGGGAGCCAAAAGAACAGTTTGCTGGAAAACTGGTATGCAACCTGTTGCCCCTTTGGAATGTCTCAAGTGTTGTGTTGAGGCTCAGGTTTGCCTCCCCAAATCGAGGAGATCCCCTGCTACCCTCTTCCCAACTCTCTCCTTTCTTGTCTTGTCATCTTTGCATGTCCACGCCGAGCTCAGCAGGGCGCTCTGAGCAGGTCTTCGTGCTCCAAGGCTTCTGTTCCAATTTGTTCAGCCATCAGCGACTGCGTTGAGGTCGACCTGCCGCGTAAGCTTGGAGTGTCTGTCAGTCTATCATGGGACCAAACATGAACCACAAACAACCGACCATCAACCCACCAACAACTGCCAACCATCCAATTGGTGCAACCCTGGCCACCAAACTGAAGTTAAAAAAGTGCGACGGCTTCCCGCAACCATTCTCCGATCAAATCCTTCCAGCGAATGCTCTGGGCTCATAGGACCCCGGACCAGGCCAAGGTGCGCCCGCAAGTTTTTTTGCTAAATGAAAAAAACATGGTATGGTATGGAAGTGTCGCCAAAATGCTGAGTAGACACTCCCATACCATACCATCACTTGCAGAGTCTACCTCTGTTGGTGGCAATGAATTGAGTGGAAATTGCATTTGGGCTTGCTACAGGGCCGCACAAAAGTTGACAGAGGTAGTGTATTTTTGTAGCGCTTTAAGCTTCTTTTGCACAAGACATATTGTCAAAATTTGCATCCGTGGCGGGGTCCTACGCCCTCTGGCCCCAAAGTGTTTCTGCTTCCAGCAAACCCATGAACTGAAACGGCTTGCTTCTTCCCCTCTATCAGGCCGCAGAGCGTATTTTGCTAAATTTCCAACTCTGACATTGCAAAATAATGCAAAATATAGAATCCACGTTTAAATGGAATTGCAAGCCCAAAAGTATTGGCATTGTGCGGTCAGATTTGAATGGCAAAAAGTTTTGGAAAAATCAGCTGGGAGCACTGATTCGGCTGCTCAAAGAGAGACTTCAGCCTCATGTGTCAAGAATGCGCCGCAACTCTTCCATCTTCGCAAGAATGCCACAGAAACACAGACTCCAAGGCCGCAACTGCTTGTGCGTAAAAAAACGTACTTGCTGCTCATGTTCCATAAACGTCTTTGAGAGGCCGCCCTTAAAGATTTGAAGGCGAAACATCTTGTCTTCGATGGCACCAGAGCCAATCAGGCGGTACACAACCACCTGTCAGCAATTTCTGAATTGAAAACGTCAACAAGTTTTTCATGGTTTTTCAAAATCCCCATGCAATGCCTGGGTAACACTGTAACACAACATGAACCCAGCCTCCTGCTTCTGTCCTATTCGATGAACTCTGTCGATTGCTTGAGCATCTGCTGATGGATTCCATGCTGGGTCAACCAGGATCACTCGATTCGCACCAGTGACGGTGAGTCCAGTACCACCAACCTGCATGCTTAAACCTGAGCACAGTCTGGCACAGTCTTGCGGAAGCGTCAAAACAAGGGAAGATTCATCCCATACAGCGGTAATGACTTGTAAGGTAAGAGCACTCTGAGGGTGAAACACAAAGCAAAATATCTGGAGTCTTCTTGCTGAAACTTCTGCAGCTTCAAATCTCTATCCTGCAAATTCACATGTTTCAACGGGGCAGCTGCAACATTCATCTTCAGTCTTCGTGGCACAAGAATACTAGGAAGTGTTCTGCTTTCAAGACGCAATGGTCATACCATGCTGGAATCAATAATTAAAGTCAGACAGAATTGGTACTGGTCATGTATATATATATATATATATTGTAATATATCTAATCATATAATTGTGATTATACACAGTCCCATACTAAGAATCATCAAAACACCAAAGAGCCAGCCAAGTCGAAGATCTTGCACTCTCAAGATTTCTCAAGCACAAACCAACGCTGATCTGGTCCGAGCATGCGGAAATCATGACTTAAATCATGACTTCATCTTCATTTCATCTTCATCGTCTCTTCATCGTACCCTTTGCTTTGCTCCAAAGTCCTTTGCGTCGATGCTGCCGTCGATGCGCAAGAACTTCAGCCCTAACACTCTGAGCACACAGCCCTGGCAGAAGGCAGACAGAACTTGAATTCACTTCAGTTTTTTCACGCACGATACATATCGATACATATCGACCATAATGACCATATCAATAAATGATTGAACTGTACTGAATTGCATCGCATTGCAATGATTTCCAGTCAATGAGCCCATAAGTCATCATGAGGTGAACTTCATACAGTGTCGCCATGTATGGCCTGGATAAGATCAAGCATCCTCACACTTTGGGAGAAAATCAGGCAGCGATGACCTGGCGAAGAATACAATTTGTGTGCAATCCAATCATTGACGAGATAACCTATGACCCGCCCTATGAATCCTTCTGACCGCTGCTATGCAATCACACTGTGATGTTTATGTGATGAGGTGAAAACAGCTGCTCTATGTTGCTCTATGTTGCACCATGTTGCACCTCTTTTTTGCAGTTGGGGCAGCAATACTGAGAGCACTCTCAGTTTCGTGGATAGTAGAGCGGCACCCTGAGCAGAGTTTGGCCTGGGCGCCAAATCCGCGATCATATGATGATGTCTTTTGACTTTTGTTTGACTGTTGTCTTTTGATGTCTTTTGGCAACGTTTGGCAACGTTTGGCGACGTTTGGCAAGTCTGCGTTCATTTTGTTCATGGTCTTTTGGATCTTTTGACAGTCTGCAGCTTAAATATCATGGCGTGTGAGCGTGACAGGGCACGAACCGTTTTGAAAGTTTTGGCAAGCTGCGAATTGCTGCTATTGCAGTTGATTGCAGTGTAAAACTAAAACCTAAGAGCATTGCAAAAGAGCTCGAAGGCGCGGTAGAAGCTCATGACACTCGGGCGCCTGCAAAAAGCACTCTTGTATCCAAGTTGTGCCTATCTCGTGTCATGAATGTTTAAATTATTACTGTAGTGTAATCGTATTTAATTATAATAATTTCATGAACATGTCATGGAGATGCATTTCCTTATGTATCGCAGTTCAATGCATTCCATCCGTGTCATCCTGAAACTTGTCGGATTCGTCAATTTGCTCAGCTCCCAGCCTCCTGAGTGTCTGTGACTTCTCGAGGTTCTGGTGCAGCTTGTGGGACCGGGCTGCGACCTGCTAAGGTTTGGGCCTCACCACGTGTCTCACCACGTGACCACGTGTCTCACCATGTGTCTCACTACGTGACTCACAATGTGACTCACAATGTGACTCACAATGTTTCAATCGTTTCGATATCCTTTCGATATCATTTCGATCGACGAATGGGCCATGAGCTGCTGAAAGTTCCTGCTACTGCTACCGCACCTCTAATTCCTAATCGCCTAAAAATTATCCCCGTCGTCTCAAATGCATTCATTTTAAATCTGTCATTCTGTGGCGCTGGCTCGCCATTGATTGTACTCGTCCTGGGGCCTCTGCTGTGCACTGGCACTTGCAACTTGAAAAGCCAACTTGTAAAAGCCAACTGCAAAGCCGACTTGTAAAGGCTTAGCCCTGCACAGGCACAGCAGCGGATGCCCGCACCTCAGTTGGCAAAGCCATGACTCAGCTACATGCCCAAGCCCAAAATACATTAGAGACAAACAAGAATGCAAGTGAGACTGCCGGTGCTCAAGAAGTTGGACCCAGAAAAGACTTTTCTGCATCTGAGAAGCAATTTCTTCAGCATGGCAAGTGCACGAAGGGCCTCTCATGCAACGTAGTTCTGTGCCAAGGCACAAGACTTCACAGAATTTTCCTTTCATGCTTTCTAGAATTTTCTAAGTCTTTGTAGACCTCACAATCTTCACAGTACTTCATGCTCGCATCGTGGGCCCCACCTCCATACCACATTTGGTGCCCCCTCGAGCTTTGCACCTGAGCTGTTGGTCATCTTTTAAAAAGAAACGCTCCCGTTCCTGCCATATCATTCAAATTGGCAAATTGTGAATTTTCAGCTTCTGGCTTTCAAAGCGAACTGGCATAAGCACCAGAAGCGATTCTGAATCTGAGGGTGTCACACAAGTTCGCTTGTGAGAAACAGATTGTACAACTCCATCTGAGCAGGAGTGAGATTTAGCCACCTGCAGCATCTCAAGGAATTTCAAGGATGTCTGCAACATATGCAAAGGCGCAAAAACTGCAATTGCTCAGTCAGCTTCACTGCTGGATTTGCTTTGAAACCTTCATCCTTTCAAGTCAACATTTCAGGAAAAAGACGCCACAAAGAGCCAGAACCCTAAACAAGGGGTCGGAGACTTACTCTATGATGATAGGATGGTACTGGATCAATCTGTCTTTGTGGACCCCCACAAGATCACATCTGTCTTCGGAGGTAGCTCGCGCGGAGTTGCTGTCTCTGTGGAGCCGCTTGAGCTTGCCTGAACTCAATCGATGTTTCTGAATCTTTCATGGCAAAAGCAATCAGTCGTTGCAGTACACCATGGCTCTTGTAAGAGGCAGCAACATCAGAACAGAATTGCAAGAAATTGTTTTGATCAAAAAATGTACTACAAAGCTACAAAACAAGCGACATGAAATGCAAAGAAAACACTAATGTTGCGTTGTGGGAACCATGCTCTTTGGACTGTTTTCACTAAAACCAGCGATTGCTCCAAGGTGCAACTTCACACTTTAAGCGCCGCAGGAAATGCGGAGCTGTCAGCCTCTTGAGCTCTCGGGCCTTTTCCACAAGCATAGCAGAAACATTGCCATTTGTTCATGCCTACCTTGCCAAAAATGCGATTAAACCGCGATGCAACGCCTACACCCAAAGTGTCTTACATCGCAATTTAGTACATAATGTTATATTCCATGTGCTTCCGTTCTTCAAACGCCGTCAAACAATTTGGCAAAGTAAACCCAGCAGTCATCAACCGCCAGGTTTTCTCCTTCTGCTTAGCCAGGACAGTTCATTCATCAGAATCATTCACTCCAGACAGCAAACTAAGATACATACAGTAGAGGTATGTCTATCAAATTCTCAGGCAAATTCTATCACCAGGGCCCGTGCTAAGTGATCCTTGAGCTCCACTGCAAAGCGCGAGGCGTTCCTCTTTGAGCCTGGGCACGCTTGGAATTCAATGGCAGGCCACAAAAACCGGTCTAGGCATTCGATGGTGCGATGGCATTCGCTAACCGCTAAGATTTTCAGGGCCTACGACGTCTACGAACAGTCCAACGGTCAAAACTATAAAAACAAGTGACGTCTCTTGACAAATTGCACTTTGGATTTTCGAACAAATGTTTCCATCAAGGAACAATTTGCTGTGTATTTTTTTCGTTTACTTCTTTGTGAAGGAAAGGAACAACCTGAGACTCCCATCCTTTGGCGATCTGCTCAGAAAAGTTCCTTGCCAGAAGGGGGAAACATTTGAAAAAATCCTTGCAAAACAATCAACGTGAGAAACCATGGGAAACCCATTATCTGATAGATCTGATAGTCAATTCCAGTCATTTCCAGTGAGTCTGAGCACACCAGGCAGCAATTCGGCCTCTCAAATGTAGCATGGTTGCCCAAAAGGCCAGGTTGGGCCTGGTCAACATGTGGCCAGTCAAATTCAGCTGTCCAGTCTGGTCAGCCCTATTCCAAAATCGAAGAGCAGCCGCTGGATGTGTTTCCATTCCAATTTGGATGCCTGAATCCTTTTGGCGGGGTGAATCAGAATTGAAAGCACGCACTAGAAACGAACTGGATCATTGAAGTGATCCGTCGGGAACTGAATCCAACAACGTGCAATTAAATCAGATTATTGATGTAAGGTAGATCTGAAAATGTCAGAGAGGGGTACGTGGCTTAGCTCCGTGCCATTGCAGTAAAAAGAACAGCAGGTACGTCGATGAGCATCCCCATCGATATCCCAGATGACACACTGGCGTCTTCGTTGGTGCCAGTCCAGTGTGCATCCCTGGCACCCCCTGCATCTAAATAGAAGTTTTACATCTGTTCCGGTGTTACACACACACACCCACACACTTGCTCAGAAACATCTTATCGAATTACTGATGTGGAATGCATCGCACGTGCACAAACACTTCAATTAAACCTGACAGGAGAAAGTGGATGACTAGGCGTGAGAAACAGTGGAGAAGAATTCTTTCTACGTCCTTGCTAGATGCAACTGTTCCATCTGACGAGGTCAGCAGTAATTCAGATTGCGAAAACCGTACAGTGATTAAGATCGAGAAAAGTTGGAAACGACATGCCGGTACTTGGCTTAGCCGGTTGCCATTGACGAAAATGGAAATTAGCGCAGGTACGTCCAGCTGGCCAAGCCGGATATCCCATTTCACTGGTAGCTTCGTTGGACACAGTCCCAGTGAAATGCTGTGTCCCCCTGCGTGAAAATTGAAAATAAATCATGAAGAGTCAAACCAAACAAGTAGTGCACCGAAATCAACGGAAAGAAGTTTTACATCTATTCAGATGGTCCACACACACACCCTCCCGCAGGAGGGTGGGAAATTAAGGTCCCGACAATGAGATGAAAATGAAGAGGAAGGGAAATGAAGATGAGGTGAAGATGACAATGAGATGAAAGATACTTAACCAGGACGCAAAGAGGGGAACGCAAAAGAAGAGGGAAAGAGCAAACACCAACACATGAAACCTAGCCCAAAACGGGCAACCCTGGAAAGGCAAGGGAAAAGAAAAGCGGAGGCCGACGGAAAACGGAACAAGACCAGCGGAGGAGGGGGAAGACAGAAGCGCCTGAACCAACCTGACACGGCGAAAACCAACATCAACCTCAGCACGCAACGGGCCAAACCTACCTGGAGAAAGGAGAACGCAAGAACACATGAAATAGGGACCCATTGGGGAACTAGTTTATGACATGATGCTTCCACATTATCGTGCAAGTTTCCCCTCATTAGGCTCAACGGCCTGCGTTCACGTCAACCCTATCGACGGCTATCAGTGTTCAAATGAATTACGTGCACAGTTGAACCTCACCGAGAAACCAAAAAGAAGTGACCACACCTGTAAAGCATGTCCTGTTACCTGTTCATGTCAAAATGGCTTCGGGAATGCGCTTGAGCTTCACTGGAAAAGGAGGTTGTTGTCGTGGCTTCCAGCTATGCATAACGATAGAAAAGAAAGGTGGTGCCAGGCACAGCAGCCAGCAGTTTCAACAATCACTCGACCGACGTGTGAAACAATGAAAAAATGGCCAGCAGTTCACTCTACTTAGACGAATTACTAATTCAAAAGTGTAAATTCAGACATCGTTTTACCGTCAATTTTTAGCCTAGAAAGGCTTTCCCCGAAGGGCTCATACCACCTTGTCGGACAACGGTATGAGTGACACACTTGCTCAGAAACATCTTATCGAATTACTGATGTGGAATGCATCGCACGTGCACAAACACTTCTATTAAACCTGACAGGAGAAAGTGGATGACTAGGCGTGAGAAACAGTGAAGAAGAATTCTTTCTACGTCCTTGCTAGATGCAACTGTTCCATCTGACGAGGTCAGCAGTAATTCAGATTGCGAAAACTGTACAGTGATTAAGATCGAGAAAAATTGGAAACGACATGCCGGTACTTGGCTTAGCCGGTTGCCATTAACGAAAATGGAAATTAGTGCAGGTACGTCCAGCTGGCCAAGCCGGATATCCCATTTCACTGGTAGCTTCGTTGGACACAGTCCCAGTGAAATGCTGTGTCCCCCTGCGTGAAAATTGAAAATAAATCATGAAGAGTCAAACCAAACAAGTAGAGCACCGAAATCAACGGAAAGAAGTTTTACATCTATTCAGATGGTCCACACACACACACGCACACACACACACCCGGCCGAAACTGGGTAAACCCTGAAAGGCAAGAGGGAAAAAAAAAGGACACCAACGACGGGCCAACGGACAAAACAGCACAGGGGGGGAAGGGAACAACCGAACCTCAAGAACCAACCTACACGGAGAAACGGACCCAACCAGCACAGAGCACACACTTAAACCCCACGACACATTACAGAGGGGCACGGGGAAAATTAGGGACCGAACGGGGGACTCGTTGATGAAGAGGAGTGAAACAGCAAAAAAAATAAATGGGATCCAGTTCCTAGACAAAGTAAGTCGTGCGTTACTCGCTTGAAGGGACGGCAGTCGGTCAAACCCAAAAATGGGCATTAAACGGCTATTCAATTTCTCACGAATGGGGTGCTTAATATGTTCAACCTCACCAGAAACCAAAGTGGACCATACCTGCAGGAAGAGGACATGCCTGTAGCCTCAAATGTCATGATGTCATGCTGCACAATGCTGACTTGATACCAAAAGGAAGGTTCGGAGCAGCTTCACTTGAGCAGATTTGACATTATCCAGGGCATCGCAAAGACGGCAGGATCTGACATTGTCCGGGGCATCGCAAAGACGGCAGGATCGGCGAGATGTCACAAAAATGGTGAGGAATGGCAAGGCCGACTGTTTCACTTTACGTAGACGAATTACCAGATTAAAATGTGTAAATTCGGAGTTCCGTTCGTCCTCTTTCTCACAAATGGGTTCCCTCAAATGGGTCCATGGCACCATGCCGGAGCCACCATGGAAAGTGATACGTCAGGAACTGAATCCACAACGTGCAATTAAATCAGATTACTGATGTAAGGTAGATCTGAAAATGTCAGAGAGGGGTACTTGGCTTAGCCCCGTGCCATTGCAGTAAAAAGAACAGCAGGTATGTCGATGAGCGTCCCCATCGATATCACAGATGACACACTGGCGTCTTCGTTGGTGCCAGTCCAGTGTGCATCCCTAGCACCCCCTGCATCTAAATAGAAGTTTTACATCTGTTCCGGTGTTACACACACACACTAGACAAGAACTGGATCATTGTAGTGATCCGTCGGGAACTGATTCCCACAACATGCGGTTAGGAGGGGCTCTCGGCTTAGCCCCGTGCCATGTCGATCGGAAAATAAACTTGCAGGTACGTTTGCACAGCAACTTGGATGGGTCTTCGTTGGCCCATGCCATCCAAGTGCCCATGGGCTCCCTGCAAGAGTAGAAGCTTTACATCTGTTCAGATGCTACACACACACACACACCCGGCCGAAGCCGGGTAAACGCTGAAAGGCAAGAGGAAGAAAATAAGCGGACACCAACGACGGGCCAACGGACAAAACAGCACAGGGGGGGAAGGGAACAAACGAACCTCAAGAACCAACCTACACGGAGAAACGGACCTAACCAGCACAGAGCACACACCTAAAACCCACGACACATTACAGAGGGGCACAGGGAAAATTAGGGACCGAATGGGGGACTGGTTGATGAAGAGGAGTGAAACAGCAAAAAAAATAAATGGGACAGTTCAAACCTAAAGAGTCGTGCGTTACTCCCTCGAAGGGACGGTAGTCGGTCACACCACATGGGCATTAAACGGCTGTTCAAGTTCAAATGAATGCACAAAATGTTTGACCTCACCAGATACCAAAAAGACCATACCTGCAGGAAGAGGACATGCCTGTTGCCTTCAGTATCCCTCGTCATGTTGCAAAGCTTGAGCATCAGCGATAAAAGAAGGTTTCTGGTGGTTCGGAGCAACATCCCTTCAGCAGGTTGCCCGAGGGTCACATAGACAACAGGAGCAGCGGGACATTGCAAAAGGTGCAAAACCGAAAGGCCGACTGTTTCGCTTTACTTAGACGAATTCCGCATTCGCCTTAAGAAAGGTTCCCTCAACTGGGTCCATGGCACCATGTCGGAATCACCATGGAAATCACACTAGACAAGAACTGGATCATGGTGATCCGTCGGGAACTGAATTCCATGACATGCAATTAAACAAGACTTTTCGTGGAGGGGTTCTCGGCTTAGCCCCGTGCCATGTCGATCGGAAAATAAAATTGCAGGTACGTTTGCACAGCAACTTGGATGGGTCTTCGTTGGCCCATGCCATCCAAGTGCCCATGGGCCCCCTGCAAGAGTAGAAGTTTTGCATCTCTTCACATGCTACACACACACGCAACTGAGTATAGTATCTTTTTGTGGGCGCAACTTTTATGTTGCTGTGCATTGTCACATTGACCTCAAGTTATAAGGTACTTCCAACTCAACAAAAAGACGATACACTCTTTGCCGGGATAAACACATGCCCTCACAAGCTCTGCGAAACTGCCCTGTGTGTATCACATTCCAGTGGAACTTTGCACCCACCTCCATACAAAACACAAACCTGAAACCCAATACCAACAATCGTTTGAGTATGTGCTTTGTACATTCGTACGTCTCTGAGACTTCTTTGAATGCAGCTATCTATTCAGATCATGTTTGCAATGTTTGTGTCTCAGACTAAGATGAACGCAAAATCCATCAAAGCCCACAAATCGCTGAGCTTGTTCTGAAGTGGCGTCCTTGGCCAATTGTGACTTGCCACATCTTGCCACAGCCAAGTCTCTCTTGCACAGTGTTGGTTCATCTTGGCCTCTCCCCAGCTCAGCCTCTGGCCCAGTCAAGAGTATCCGAGAGCGTGCATTGATTCGGCGCAAGGAGCGTCCAGATTGACACGAAGGATTCTTGATTTGATGTCCCTC